CTTATGATTGTACATTACTTCCAATTTTCGGAAGGTACCAATATCTCTTCATTGTTCCAGAATATAATAATGTTCTCGGCTAAGTATATCATTAAGATTTGGTTAAAATATAAGAATTCTTTAAATTTTCATAATAAAGAATCATTCTTTATTGTCCTCAAAAAATATGCATATAACTGTAATCTATACTTCTATACTAATATCATAAAGAGGTAAAATTTGTAAGTTTATATGTTTGTATGAAGGGGATAATCTTTGGAACCACTGGTCGGATTCCCAAAATTCTTTCACTTATTGATAGCTACAATGTTCCCGAGTGCTATAGGCTACAAAACATCACGCTACAATCAAATAGAGCCGAGCAGCGAGTGAAACCGCGCGGGAGTAGCTAGTATGAAATAAAATATTAATATTACAGTGTAAGTGCGTATGTCTTCGTCTGCGTTGGTATTGAAATTTTGTAAAACAATTACTTTGGGAAAATTTTATTTACCTTACTATTTAAGTTGTTTGAAATATACTATAACTTGGAAATATTCATCATATTAACGATATGTGGAACCTTTCATGCGCAAAATTTTGTACTTTGGGTAGACTTTAAGTGTGGGACTTTTGGTACTTTAAGTGTGGGAGAGCCATGCTTCGGCACGAATGGGCCGGCTCGACCGGAGTGACACCACGGCCTCACAGAAGACCGGCGTGAAACAACTACAGCGTTGTGTTTCGCCGTGTGAGTGAGGTTACCGGAGGCCCAATCCTTCCCCGCCCCCAATCTCTCCTCAAACCCTAAATCTCCAAATACCTAATCCCTAAAAGGTCGGAACGCACTCGTAACGCCTCCGTTACCATCAGGTAAAACGTCTGCTCGTTTGCCGACCTATTACATAAAAAAAAAACTTAATGTACGGCGCGTAGCGTTCCGCGCGCTATTTAGTTAGTAAGAGTCTGACACTCTGTCTCGCCTAACCCTGGGCGGGAGAAGTCATTTCATGATTTTCCCGTGACAAAATAAAAGTGTAGACTTATTGCCTTAGGTAAACAAACCTTTCGGTAATACAGAGATAAAATAATGTGGCAACTGGCTGCTGTGCAACGTACAGTGGTATCCACAAATTGTTTTTTCTTGTCCGTGTGGCTTATGTGTGTGAATTTGCATGTTTGTAAAAGCCCTCACGAAAAAATATAAGTTTATAAGTTAATGGTAGGTGCACTAATCAGCTAATTCTTTCTACTCATCATCATCAGCCTAAAAGTGCCCACTGCTGGGCAAATGCCTCTTCTCATACGGAGAAGGTTAGAGCGTTAATCAGCACGCTTGCTCAATGCGGGTTGGCGATTTCAAACTTATAATTAGAAATAATAAAATAGTAAATCCAGGTTTCCTCACGATGTTTACCTTCACCGTATGTCAGTGGTGTCTAATTAATCATAGAAAGTACATATAACTCGGAAAAAGTCACATTGGTACTTGCCAGGTTTCGAACCCACACCCTCATGCATGAAAAGCTGGCTCCTTAACCTCCGGACCACCACGACATCTCTATTCTTTGTAATATCGAAAGCTAATTTAATTACATTCTTAACATTAGACCAATTAAATGATAGTAGTCACTGTCCTTCAACTACTTACAGGATTAATGCTCATTGGCTTCACTTACCGTAAAATAATTAAGATAACATTAGGTACCTAATGGAGTGCGGTACAATTGATTTCAATAGGTATTTTCCGACACTCGAAAAATAGCAACGTATCTCCTTAGGTCTTGATATAAAAACACTATTTATTATGGTCTAGGGGAGGTGAAATATAGTTCTAATTGATTCCGATAGTAATATAGTTGACTGCATTATTTTGGTTGTTAACGGATGTTGTTAGTTTGAATTTTTAATTATGATATCCGCTCTTGAGCAAGCGTCTTAATTAATGTCCAAACCTTCTACTTGCGAGAAGAGGTCTTTGCTTAGCAGAGGGCACTTATAGGCTGACGACGACGATGACAATATTGGTTAATGAAACTGTTGAAATTTCTATTGAAAATGTATTAAATCATAATCTAAAGTATACAACTGAGGAATGTTAATCGTATGTATATATGTACGGCACACTAAATATCTACTACAAATAACGTTAACAGTTTTTTGGAACTGCTGGTTAAATTAATTACTACTATACTGGCAAATGAGTCGACCACGTTGCTCGAACGACAGACGGCAATTGGGGCGAAAAGTGCTTAAGTTGCGAACACGGACCAGAAAACGTAGTTCCTTAAAAATACTAAGGAGTAGGTTTGGTTAGCTAGCATTTTAAAAGCCGACATCGACTCATGGATTTGCAAAAACCGACTTTATTTTCACACTCATTTTCTGTACCTCAGCGAAATATGATTAGATGTGAAGGTCTCTTATTTTCGTGAGATACATTGTATTTTCACGGATATATAAACTTCTTATTTTCTGGCGTGGCGGATAAAGGATATGCCAGCATTCTGGACACTAATATCATCTTGTTCGGAACCAATCCGCGTGTCGTGCTCATTCCGGTAATAGCAGTAGCTGAGGCCGTGGCTTGCTCTTACGGATGTGTGATCTGTGAATGAAATACTTACAGAGAGATGCCAGATCTATACTAATGTTATAGAGAGGTAAAGTTTATATGTTGAAGGTAATATTTGGAACCGCTGATCGGGTTTCCAAAATTTTTTCACTGATAGATAGCTACAATCTTTCTGAGTGTTGCATGCTATAAATTATACTTGATTTGCGTATTTTAGTCGAGCTATCGCTTTAAACGCTGTTGTTTTTATAGGATTTTTTAATAATACTCGGAGTACATTCAGATAATTAGGATTGAAGATGATGAATATTTACTTAATAATACTGTTGAAATTACTGCACGATATATGTGTATGTCTGCACTTTGTTTTTTTTTTTTAATAAAACAGTCATTTGGATTTTATCCTGTGTCGTGGGTGCGTTAACAAACTCTTAGTTTCACATACACAGGACACCCAGATCCGAAATAGCAATTTGTGGATCACACGAACTGTTGTTTCGTGCGGGAATCGAACCTGCCACGTGTTGCACGGCAGCCAGTTGCCCAGCCACCGCACCATCCGTGCAGTTTTGATTTTTACACTAAATTCAATAAATTCTTCTCAAATAGACATAAGTCTGCGGTGATTGTGGCGGTAAATGCAATAGCGTGACCTCGACCCGGAGCAGGAACGAGGTGATTTTTAGTCTGTAAGAGTCTGGACACTTCCTCGCGCTTCCTTCAGAGTGGGAGAAATCATTTGATTATTTTCCACCATCCAAATAAAGAATGTTTGGTAATGGAACATTCGATATTGGCTTTTTATGGAGGATGAACTTACCTTTGTGTAAAGAATATTATCCTGAACTATAACAGAAGATACTTTCTGCGTCAATGTGTAGATGAACATACTGTTCCCAAAAAACTGGTTGAAATGGTTAGGAAGAAAAATAACAGTAAAACTCAAAAATACTCAGTGATATCTTTTATTATGACTAGAGGTTTTTTAAGTTACAAAACAATTGGTATCCTCTTAATTGTTATACACAAAATAACGTCAACAAAGTATGTATTCGTGTTCAGATATTTTGTTCTGATATGTATAAAATGAAAACCTCGAATTTCACATCAATTAATTATTATTATTTAAAGTCAAATCTATATATTTACATATTTATTTTGATAATTTAGTGTTTCCTTGACAGTTACAGGCACACGGAAATAGGTTATACTAGTTCGTGTAATAAACTAAAAGTTACATCTAGTGAATGTTTTTATATTTAAATAGTTACAATATATTACAATTATTACGTCAATAAACGGCGTTAAGTTATAAATATTTTAATAAATATTGAGATCCTGGTTACGTTAATCTCATTTTGCAAGCGGTTTATTCTAGCAATGGATTTTATTTGGAAATCTTTTTAATTGGTTTGTTTTAATATAACTATATATAGGTACGTTGTATCTTATTATTGCATTTTTCTCACGCGTTCTGATACGACAATAAATAGAAGATCGATGGGTGACTGAATTAAAACCTAATCAGGTAAGTTTTCAGTTTTCCAAAGTGAGACTTATTTCATATTTTACAGGTAAGATTGGTGTATCTTCAGATTTGTTGGCATTTTGAAAACTTATTTTTTATGTCTCACAAACACAAGACAATTAATATAGCAGAATATGTTTCTAAATAAGTTGTTAAGAATTTGAATATTGTCGTAGAAGCGCGTAGCATTCCTTGTAGCAATCGTAGCAAGCAGTTTACAATGACTCTGTTGTTTTGTGCTCGCTAGATGGCACTGCACATCCATAGCGCAATAATAATTAAGTCCAAAAATTTGACGAAGTTTTTTATTGGGTAAAATCCCACTCAAGTCTATTGCAGAAAATTAGGCGCTATATTGCTCATTGCTCGGGAATTGCCTTTTTTAATTTTCTATTTGAATAAATGTGGTGGAAGAATTGAAAAGGTCTTGAACCCACTTAAACAGATTGGTATCATTCCCGGATATTCTTAATTTAGGAAAGTCATAAAAATGAATTTTGTTTTTCTTAAAATGAGGTCTTGTTAAAATAAAAGGAATGGACAAATTTAAAATTAGAATTTTAATTATTTCCATTGAATTCACTACTATCTCTGAATTATTTTAATTCGTTCGATTTCCATTCGTTTTGTTTTAAATGTAAAGTTCAAATTTGTCCGTTTAACATGATTCAGTAATTCATGTACATTAGACGTATCAAGTACATTCTTATATTTAAATTATTCTATATTTACATGAAGGATTTATTCTTCAATTGTTGTTCAACAAAATTTTAATGTTATTTGAATAAACAACGCAGCCGTAGCCGCGATAAGTACATTAGTTTTAGAATGAGAATTTAGATTATATTTATTTAAAATTCCACATATTTGTGGTCGTGATTGATATACAATATCATTCTCGTTGATACAACTCCTTTGTTGTTTTTACTTTACTGATATATGTTTTGATATGCATGTGTTAAATGCGTAGCGCGATAATGTATCAAGTGGAGAGGGGAGCATACAGTACCAACATCACCTCTGCAATAAGTATAACACAAAACACTGACACTTTGGAACAAAGTCTTACAATTGCTATAATTTCACTATTACTCAAATGCTCATTGTTTCGTCTTTAATAAGTTATCAAGTTTATATATTTACATTTTCGATTTTAAGCTAAAACACTTACATTACATAACCTAAGTACATCGTAAGCTTGTAAAAATTGCACACATCGCTTTGGTATACGTACATACATAACTACATATTTACAATAAGTTTAGAACGACATCGTAATGTTTTATTGCCCGAGGTATCGTAAGTAACGTCCAGCACCAGCACAGGTGCGGGGCGCAGGCTGCGCGCGCGTCAGTCGAACCAGTCCCACAGGTGCGAGTACAGGGGCGGCGGGCGCGGCGCGGGCGGCGACTAGGAGGCGCGCGCCAGCACGGCACCCTCGCGCTCGTCGCGCCCCCGCGCCTCCTCTCAGAGCCGCTCCGCCACGCCACCCGCGTACTGGCACGCCGACAGGGGCGCCGAGCCAGCGCGCGACACCGGCGACACTCCGCCGTACCCACCACCGAACCCTGATGAATGCTGCTTGGCCTTCAACCGCAGCGACGCAATCGACGATGACATCGCAGCGCACGGCTCCGCGCGGTACATGCTGTACGGGTTGGGCGGCGTGTACGGACACGGCGCCACGCCACCAGCCACTCCACCCGTACCCGCCACGCCACCCATGCCGCCACCACCGACACCACCCATTGATGTCGCGGTGTTGAAGCAGTTCACAGAGCCCTGGTGATGGCTCGCGGGTACCACTGAGCCTAGCGGGTTTACTGGCCATGGGAAACTCTTAGTGCCGAGAGGGCTTGGCACTTTAGCAGCCCAGTTGTTGTATGGATACGACGAGTACAGCGCGTCAGTGTCGGGGAAGGGCTGCATTAGGCCGTTGAACTGCGTGCTGAAACCGTTCTTAAAGTCTGCAGCGGCGGCAGCTGCAGCGTTCATGGCGTTTCTTTCCCGTTTCCGCCATTTAGCTCTCCGGTTTTTGAACCACACCTGCAATAAAGATTATTGTTATTAAAATTATTCATGACTATTAAACTTAAGCGTAACATATTCTTCAAATAAGAAGAAGTACTTATTCTACTTTTTTAAGAAGCATAATGCTTGTTACAAATTTTAAGATGTAAGTAAATTATAGGAAGCAGGTAATTGGGGTGTCCAGTGATTTGATGGCGAATCTACAAGTTTTAACGAGATTCAGAATGTGAACGCGACTTGCGTTGCGTAGTTATCAACTTTACTCATTACAAAGTTGACGTCGCGTCGTGGCTGTGGCGACGGCGGTGGCTGCGTGTATTCGAGCCACGTAGCGGAGGCCGAGCCCCGCCCGGCCCCGCCGCTTGCCGCAGCCAACGACCCGTCTAATTGCGGCCGCGAAATGAAGATAAACGAGCGTCGCGATTGGGTGGGACGGGTGCCGCCACTCGCCACGACTTGATCGAGCCGAAATAAATGAGCGGCTACCGGGGGCAGGTCACCGCCGCGCGATGAGGACCGGTATGTACCGCGCTGGTAGCGCATGGCGGCTGCAGGGCTCGCAGCGGTGCGAGTGCGGTGATAAGTCGCCGTGAGCGCAGATAACGCGCTCGCTGATGTATGGCACGCATCCGTCACCCGGCGATCGATCGCGCCGACGACACCTCCGCGATAAATTGCGCAATCCACGTAGCGACTGCAATAAATATTGTGCCGCCGCCGGTATTTGTCTCACTCACTGTGGCGGGTTCACCCAGCCGAAACGGTAAATAATACCCTCTTTCCTCGGTTAAGTGAACATAAACGGTCGTTTCCACCCCATATACAATCGTTTATTTTTCGAAACATAAATTTCACAAATTCGCATGAGCGCATGTTTCGTACACAGGGTGACACAGGTAAACCGCGCTTTACTATCTAAATTAACACGCACGTGCTACAGTAAGATTTCAAAACGTGTACCTAGGTGTATTTATCAGATTAACATTGTACATTTAATGGTAATCGAAACAAGCAATATGTGGGCACTTCCATTACCAAAACAAAAAGCTTTACACATCCGCTATTTCCCATTCAAACCGCGAACAAACGGGTGAAAATAACTCCACGGAAACATCGGGGGTGTTCAATAATGACGTCGGAATGATATTTATTTAGGTGCACATATGTGGAAATAATTTCCATTATTTGAATAGCGGCGGACAGCGAGCGCGGAGCGGCGCGACGCTGCGGGGTGCTCGGGCCCGAGGAGGGTCGCGATATTGCGACGCGGGGCTAATCCTTTAAATATATTATTGCAGAATGGTGACCGTCCCGCGCCCTCCGTCACCCGCCAAGGAGACACCCTGACACTTTTTAATGCTTCCGAAATCGATACTAATGCGTGTTCATTTTAATTTATTCTTATACCAGTTGTTTGTCGCTTATGAAGGGTTAACACCTCGTGTGGATTGTATATTTTAAATTCAGTATTTTAACACGCAAATGCAGGAGTAATTTCGAAATATTTGGTACGGACCCATACCTCGTTATTTTTTGGGTATAATTACAGTTAACCAACAGCTTTTATAAAAAAAACAAGCATGCCACGTTCAAACGGCTAACTACATTATACTTTGTATGAAAACAAATTCGGTATGATGAAACGGTGCTCGTCCAGAGGGATGCGTGACGGTAGATGTCTGGGTTATCAAGTTATCATGCGGGAGGCACATGTACAGCAAGATTAATGTGAGCCCGTACTGCACGCCCGAATACCTACTGACACATGCCTTCAACGAGCGACGTGTATTATGGCCGCACTACAATATTATACCACAGTATTAAGTATTCGTAGCACTTGCTACGAGTGCTACGCGATTGCGTAGAGGTTAAGATTTTTATTTTACTTATATAGATATAGGCATGACAAAAAATGAAAACTTTATTTTGTTTATTATTACTTTCAAAGCATAATTTCGAGCAAAGTCAAGTAAAGATCATTGAATAGAAATTCCGGTCTCCATCTGCTAAAACACCAAAATGTCTGTCCAAAATTACGAAGTAATATTGAACTTCATAATTAGGAGTAATCATAAATAAATCACTAATTAAACAATTTAAAGTTTATTTTCGTCCAACAAAGACGAAACATTTTAGCACAATATTTTGTGTAATACAAACTAAATCACACTCCACTCCTTTCCTCGGCACGACCAAATAAATGGTGGCCTTCCAAAATTCATTAGGATAGTAGTGATGAATGATGAGACACCCCACCACTAGTAATGAAGTTATTTTACGGTCAGCAGAACCACGGGGTCGCTAAATTGCCTTAAATTTAAATTAAACTGGAATCACAGTTTTATTAGTGTCATCAATCAAACTACGGTTTATCCGACAGGATGGCCATAGTTTACGAACATAGGATTATAGTTCTTATGTCGTAAGCAAGTGGAACTATTATTGCCTAAACGTTTCGGTCCGAGACAATTCTAAAGTCAAATAAACACGCGCTCTAGCATAAATGGATATAGCATAATAAACTCGGGATTGACTTGTATTTGAGACAGGGTTGCCAACGCATTGGAAACGAATAATAAAGTGCACGTTTTTATACAATCAATTTATGCATGAAGCAAGAAAATGATATTTATACTCTTTTCAAACACTATAAATATTGTAAAAGTTCACAATGTATGCCAATGTATAGTTTTAAACAGGATTAACTAATTAACATTGCAAAGGTTACTAAGCGAAGCTATCATGAAGGACCTAGGTTATACACAGAGTTCCGAGTCTTCCTACATAGTTAATACGAATGAACAACTACGTTAGAGCCTGGAGCTAGCTACTGTTAATCTGTCGTGACCAGCCGCTGACGCCCCTAACGTTGAGTAGATTATTAAATGCACCCTGCCAGGCGATGCGGCAGTAACTCCCATATTATGGGAAATACTCAGCCTACACTAAACCCGCAGAACTATTTAAAAATGCTTCAACAATACCGTGATCTAATAGTCAGTAATTGTTACAAAATGTGAATTGTATTTTTTGAGAAGAAAACACTAGGATTACTGTTTAATACTAGATAGCACCCACATACACCCACTAAATCACAAATAACTAAAACTAAAACAATCTCAAACATTGTTCTGTGTTCAGAAAACAGAGATTACTGAAGTTAATTTGGCGCAAAATCGACAGTTATACAACCACACTAACTGACAGCCAAGTGATTTTAGCTTCCATTCATTGATATAAATTCCTGGCTAACGCCGTGCAAAGTCCACGGGATCACAACACTACACCGTAAGCCTATCAAAACATAATCGGGATAACTCATTGGACATCTAGAATGCCGGCAGCTCAGCCTCGACTTAACATACGACTAGCAATAATAAACTCTAAAATTGCATGCACAAAGTAAATTCTCCGAGAATACGAATACTTGGCAAGAATACGCGGAGTAAAATAAATTTCGTAATTGAAGTCCGTTAATACTGTAGCTCTTGTTTACTGAAACAAATTCTTCGTGTAAGATTATAGCGAGACTACCGGTTGGGATCGGGCCAGCCGTAGACATGACAATGTTGTTTCATAATTTAATTATTACAACATTTGTTTGTATTGTAAATTATATATCAATATTGATGGGATGTCTTACCAGGCTCAGTGATGTCAACGAGCTTTATTTCATGATTAGTTAACTCAATTTAGTTTGACTACATTATTTTGCTCGTATATTAATTCAAAAGTAGCCGATCTCTTGCGTATAAACAAAGTATTATATAGATTAACATTTGGCTAAATAAAATTGCAACATGATGACTTGTCATCAGATTACAAAATGGTGTTTTGTAACGAAAGTATGTTAGGCGGGAATGAGTAGAAAGATTTTTACAAAATACACAGTAATGCAGAATACAAACAGTACACTAGTACTAGGAGAGCATACCGGCGTAGAGTTAGTTCTTGCGCGCGTGGCTAGTGTGTAAAAACAAGGTAAATCTCGCTAAACTGTTTGCATGCAACGAGACAGGCGACAGGAACGTGCACTAAAAGCATCGCAAAAACAGACCGAGAGCCGTTGGGGCGAGCCGTTTTCACGTAAAATAAATAATGTTCCGTGCCGCCTGCCCTGTCGGCGGACGCGTTTGATACACGCCTTTTTACACATGCACACACTAAAATGTTTTCACATCTTAAAACTATTACTATGATATACGTTTTATTTTTTCCATTCAAATCGCTGAAGATTTACTGCCGTTACTTTTGTTCGTGTACTGTGTTTGTATTACTATTATATTATTGTCTTTATGATATCATTTGATATGCTTAAATATTTCTACATATACTATACATAGACAAAAATTAATGGAATTGAAGCTTCGAATACAAGCATGTGAAACAGGTCCGGCTTCATAAGATACAAAATCTTGCTTCAAATAATGACCGTCTATTCTAGACTACCTAAAATATTCCAAAATAACATTACATGTTTTCACTAGACATCAAAACAAGCTATTCAACGGAGGTTCTCTGTATTACGTCAATAGTTAAATAATAATCTGTTTGTTTGTTAGATCGATGTTCTAATTCGACGTCACGTGGAACGCGGGGCGGTCTCAATCGCGTCAAATGAAATGTGTCAAGAGCTGTTTCACGGACGATTGCACGACGCGCGGCGATGCGGGCCGTGTCGCTTCATTTCTCAGAAAGGAAAACTGCTAGGGGGCGGTTTTACGTTTACAAATTGCTACGCAACAAAAACTGATCCCGAATTAGAGATATTCGTTATAACTCACGTGTCAAGCTAGCCGTGAATTGTGTATGAAAAAAAATTAGGTTAGTGCCGAAGCGTAAGTACCGACTTTACTTAATTTATTGATTGAACTCTCATTACTTACGACACATATGCCGATACAAGTTATTTCAAAAGGAAGCTCAAACATTTAAAATAACATTTGGATGTAAAATGTGGTTTGATTTGACAAATATCACATGAAAGGAAATACGCATTGAAGAAAACAAAACTGCGAACAGATCATATTTTACGAACGCTAATTGAGTCAATAAGCAGGCAATGACCCTAATGAGTTGGTAACAAAAATAATGTTCAACGATTTATCGGTGCGCGCGCGCACAGATTTATTAGACGGCGCGCGGCACGGCGGCGCGGGCGCTGCGCGGACGAACGAACCATAATCCCTTGTTTAGGGCTGTCTGAATTAAAATATTACAATTATCAATATTATCTCGTAGGTGACTGCTACTCAACAATATTATGATGTAAATGTAAAGTGTTTAAATTAAAAAGTTCAAAAAACGCATTATGAGACTTAATCTACAACATGTCACATCTAAGTAAACTACAGATTTTTATCAAATTAATGAATTTAAGCTAATCTCTGTTATCTGTATTTCATAATTATTGTGTTTGTTAGAAAGATTATTCCTTTTTTCTTCCAAAATTAAAAAGAAAAAAATCAAAAAAGATATTTCATCTTCTTCTTCCGTGCCTAACGTTATTTGATTACATTGCACTGTGCACATAGGTACTTCCCCGATAAATAAACCTATAAAATGCAACGACTTATGAAACAAAGTCATCTATCAAACTTAATACTTTAAGGTTCACTCATATTATATCGAAGATAAGCTTTTCACTTGTTTATCTGGTTTCAACCAGTTTTGAAAAGGTGTAGTAGAAAAGTGGAACTGATAAAGGAAATATGTTGCCCTAAATTATGATAAAATGGTTGAGATGTTTGGCTAAGTTACGGACAGCCCTAGCGTACAAAATGGGAATGTTTTGAAGAACACACGCGTATGATCCAGTGCAGTCGAGTACACTGAAACGAATACCTAACACTTGAACCTACGCGTTCAACTCATAAAGTATCGATTTACATGTATCTGCATGTGATAACCGAGTAATTAATTGCCCACGGTGTATTTGTGGCGAGATCACTCTTCGCAATGTTACGGTAAGCTCGAAAACATTTTAGAGGTACAATTTATAAATCGAATCCATTCGATTTGCGGATACTATTACGTCATTTAATATATCGGATTTTATGAGTAACAATAATGTGAAAATTGCAGATAGTTCTAGTTACTAGATCATTCTTCATATTTATAAAATCGATTACTTACACTAATTTTAAAAACTACGACAGCAGATATGTGTATTTGTTGAAGATTCTTGTATCTGATGAATCTATACAAAGAATCGTTATTTCTATAATCTCTCTTTATTTCCACATGTCAGTGAGTTACCGAATATAATTAATGTTATACAGCACTTGCCAAATTCTCGAAGATTTTCTCTGATAGCCACTTATTTCAAGATGAAAAAAGATGCAATGATTTATATCAATTGTTTTATTTAAAATTGTATTTATAAGTCACTTTGTCATCCCGAAGTGCTTAAGAATAACAATGTATGAATGTAATATCAAAATAATTTTGTTAAAGAAGTTACACATACACAAAGAATTCGCCTAGTACACATGTTTGAGAGATTATCGAAACCAAGCACTCCACATGCCAAAGAAACCGTCAACTATTCTATGAATTCGGTACAAGCTAAACACTACAAACTCGGTTGCAACCGCAGAATCCCTAACAGGGCCTTCCAAAACTATTGACAGTGAGTGTGGATGCGATCAGACTTAAGCCGGGGATTATGAAGAGACCGAAATAGACGCATCAAATCCTCGAGGATTAAGGGATTCCATGTTCCGTCGGCCGGCACGGCACAAAAATACCGAAGACGCGCCGGATGCGACGATTAGCCTAAACATCTAGCTCGTTAATATTGTAATGCACTCGCGCTCCTGTCACGTCGCGCAACGACATAAAAAGTGGATACCACAGCCTTGATGGTTGAAAATACACCAATATCGTGGTATTCATTAATCTTGATGGAAAAGTGTATAAGTTGTCAAATAGTACAAAAAATCCAAAAATTTTGCATCCTTACCCTAACTCTCGCTTCCGTGAGGTTGGTCCACATGGCGATCTCCTCGCGCGTGGACATGTCTGGGTAGCGGTTTCTTGCGAAGGTGGCTTCAAGTTCTTGCAGCTGTTGGCTGGTGAAATGTGTTCTCTGGCGGCGCTGTCTCTTGTTTTTCTTGTCACCCTTGTCGTCCATCGAAGGCTCGTCGGGCCCGACCCCCGGAGTCGTTGACTCCGTCTTTATCGTCGGCTCCGACGTTAGCGGACGATTGCCTGAACAGATAGAGGCAGTTAGTCCCAAGTTCGGTAGTTTAAGTGTAAACTTTTGCGTATGTGTTTTACTATAGAGCTCGTGTAACAGGTTTGTTATTCAGCAGTTCTAAAAAGTACTTTTCTGGATAAGCTTTTTTATATCTTAAGTGTTTTTCGAACTAAGTCTTTATGAACGTTTGATCTAAATTCATAATAAAATTTACGCAGTTACTAAATGCAATCTGACTCTAATCAGATCCCATAAGCACACAGGATATATCAAAAGAATAACATCATAAACATCGTGTACATATAAAGTTTTCCCATTCAATATTATTTAGATAAAAATATGGAATCAGGGCCACGGTCGCAAGTACCGGTAGCAAGCCCATAATGCGGCGGCGGATTAGACGCAAGCACAACTAATACTTTTACGACACTGCCGTAAATTCGTTGATCTCGATGAGCAACGTCACACTTCACGTAATTTATATCACTTACATGCAATAAAATCTATTTTCGGTTCATATTTTTAATGGGCGATTATATCAGCGTGTAAACAGAATGGAGAAACACAATTTTATTAAGAGAAAAACAAAAGTATTATAATTTTAAAGTATTTAGGAAGGTTTTTACGATGGTAATAAAATTAACTTTCTTATTACAGCGATGCACCTATATTTGAATGGCGTAAATAGACGATGTAACGACAGATGTTCTGCTAAACAATGATAGGGTTATTTTAAACTGGATTCCCAGACTACTTACAAAAGGTTGAAGGACTTTGCTACATTTACCTATTCTAATTAATTATGGACATTGAACAAAATGGTGTTGTAAACTTAGATATCGTAGAGAAAAATTTAAGCAATATGAGATCAACAACTGTCTTTATTATCTTTGAGCTCACATTCCTAAGCCTTATACTTAAAATATAACATTTGAATTAGTTTTAGGAGCCTAAGCACAACAATACTATTCCAAAAAGAGGACTGAAGTTCAATAATCAGCTATAAACCATAAACTGAAATGACAAAAAAGTTTCGTGATTACTAGGTTAAAATTCCCTCGCTATCGCGTAGGGGACAAGTGATACGGTGTTGTTATTACATCAATTCGTTACTGATAACGCGTCGATCGCAATCAAGCCGCATATATTGGCTTTGCTCGAAATCCCTGTGTCAATGTACCTATTGTCTCTGCTGCAATAGAGGTCACTACTGAATGAACATCGTTGTCAAAAACCTGGCTTAGACTGCGTGAATAGATTTCAGATGCATAGGATAATAGATCTTATACGTGTTGTATTTTTGTATTAGGTCCATGATTGCTTTAAAAATTTGAATCAAAAGAGCGAAAATATTAAGTAGTGCAATACTTTACGCTTTTAAAAAATAATTACATACATAGCAGACTTAGTAACGAGCTGTAAATAGATTAGATCTGTAAAAAATGTGATAATCAGCTCGAAACGATTCCATAGCTTTTGTTTGGATAAGTAATAAATACATACAACATACATATATACCTAAAAAGCCCTTTTAATAAAATAAAGATTAAAAATATATATATATACCTAGGTATTTTTTCATCACTACATTGTATAAAACATAGTCGTTTTCTCTGTCCCTATATCTCTATGTAAAGTGTAAGCTTAAATCTTTAAAACTACGCAACGGATTTTGATGCGGTTTACAACAGATATAGTGATTGAAGAGAAAGGTTTAACTATATCTTTGTATATATACTATAATAACATCCGTTAAATAGTTTAATATCACAATTTCACGTGTGCAAAGCCAGGATGGGTCGCTAGTCTACTTAAAGCATGAAAAGAATTCTTGAGTATCTACATAATCCCTATCAGGTAATTAACCGCTAATCAATAATTCCTATCTATGAAACTGTACTAGATTACCTAATTAACAAAATGCATTTATGGAGATACGTAAAAATGGTTGCTTGGTTTTTTTCTTTGTGATAGCGCATTTAATCTACAAACATATTATTAGATTTTGGTGTTAACTATTAATCTTTTAGATGAAAAATATATTCTTGTTTAAGTAATCAAAACTTAATGAATGATGATGAAGAATAATACCATGCCTCTTAATTTCGAGGTAAGTACAACGTTAGAAATGATAGCTTTATGATATATTTTTGAGACCTTACATAATTTTACATTTAATTCATTTATTATGTTTTTATTGAACTCGTAGGACCAAAGATTTGCACGTTCAAACATACAAACTCTTGTTTAATAAATTATACGTACCTACCTAATTATTAACAACTAGCTTTTGCCCGCGACTTTAAAAACTATCCTATGTCCTTTCTCGAGTTCCAAACTATGTCTGAACCATATTTTACACAAATCGGTTCAGTAGTTTAGGCGTGAAGAAAAGACAGACAGCCAGAGTTACTTTCGCATTTATAATATTAGTTTGAATTATAGATTTTTCATATAATAATTATTATTATAATATAAGAACAGAAACAGTAGCAAGGCAACGTGATACAATGAGACTACGTGTTTTCAAGTGTAATAAAATAGTTTTAACTTGTAATTTCGTTTATTACATGTCGGATTAACGTTTATGCTTTTATTGCAGGCGCTTTATCTTGATTGAACATTGTTTAATAATCATCACTATCCGATATTATGTCTACACCAATGAAAGCAGTTATAGATATGTATATACAAATAACTATTTAAATAGAGGACATATTTTTTGGGTTTTAAACAAATCTAAAATTTTTTGGTCATACTTAGTAAACGCCATTAAAAACCACGATCCATTACTATAATAAATACAAGCATTAAAAAGTAGTTTATTTCCATTTCATTGATGAGTTTAATCTCATATTTAGTTTCCAAATATCTTTACAAAAAATAAACACCATAAAAGAAAACTTCATCACCATAATTAATCAAAACTCAAACATAAACATGATCACATAACTTTAAGTTACCAAAACGCGTCGCTCGCCAAAATAGTCGTGCTATCAACGAGTACATATATAAAACGAAATCAGTATATAGTAAAACGATAAGATGTGTATGAAAAGTGAAAAACATAAATCTGTAGGGCTCGCCAATCTCATTGGTGTATAATGAACAAGGCGGGATTATGGTTTCAAAGGTTACGCACCCATCACCCGGCTACCGATGCCATCCTCAAACCACGATCATTATCCGCCGATACTGCTAGGGCTGCTACTCACTATTACGGACCACGTTTTTATCAACAAACAACACAAGGATATAACTTTTGTGCGACTTAGAATCTACTTAACTCGTTGATTTTTTTTCGTCTTAAAAACACTCGGTATTTTATTTTGGTATATAAAGTTGTTTATGTAAGGAAATCGTTTTTTTTTACTGAGAGTAAAATTAACTTAAAGTGATTTATTTCAGTAAATAAATCAGTTTTCAACTCAACATAATCCCCTGAAGCACGACGCCAATGAAATTACTGAACAAATTATTTCAAGTTCGTTTAAACTGTCGAAACTTCTGAAAGCGGGCAAGGCCACGGACCATATAAAAGTGAATGGTGTAGTAAGTTGAGTTTGCGACAACCCTAGATAAGTGCGATACGCGTCGATAACGCATCGATAGCGTTTATCAGCGATACGCTTTGAGCGTTCGCCGACCCATCCATCATTTCGAACTAACCTTTGCGTTAGTAGGTAACATATTTAATCTAAGCCTTTGCGTTCGGCCGACATGACAAGAGCGGGTTGGTAAACAGCGTAGTTACATGTGTTACCGATATCAGAACATGTTGCCACTTCAAAGCCCGACACTCGATTTTGATAAAACATCGCAACGTTTCCTTTAATGTGTTTACTTTCAAATAGTTTACAACGAGTATACATTCTTAATATAATGATTGTTATCGAGGGGCTTCAGAAAGTAGGATGCGCACTTCGAGGCGCTACGATTTACGATAACTGCGAATTAAGTAGCTACGATTTTTATAATGGGGATAACCAGGTTTAAAATACTTTTCTTTATCACTGCCGTACATTTAAAGCTATAATCAGTTGATTAACTATCAAGGGAATTTTAGAAAATATACACTTAAAAAAATCTTACATCTGTTTTTCATCTTTCTTAGCCTATAACCGTAATACCTAATCTCATTAAAAGCATTATTATAAGCTCTACATTAACAGTTAAGACAATCCTGCAAACGAGCAGGCATCGTCTCAATCACATAATATTAATTTACTGATAATTGTCATTACAACATAACCAGCTTAACGGGTATTATATTAATTACTACGATGATAGCTCGCAATGGCCTATTGTAATCGTAGAATCATCGATAAACTAGGTATTTTCATATCAGCATGTTTATATATGTATATTGACATTCCTATAGTAAAATATTTTAACGTACACTCCTAAATATTTTGTAAAATACAAATGAATTTTTAACTAAAATGTGTCATCAAATCAAACATTAACAAACTGAGTCGGTACGGTAAATGAAACATTTCTTTTTCCGTAGGAACGGTAATCAAATCAGCCTGTATAAATAAAAGAGCAATTAGTACGGCGCCGACGTATGTACGTAGTGCAGAAAGTTAGGGCGGCGCCACCACCGCGCCGTTAGGTAACCGCGCGCCGTGCTCGCGCGGCTATTTGTGAAAGCATTAGAATAACGCGCGGCCGTATTTGCCATAGATTTCCCTACGCTTTACTGGGTTTGCTTTCAGTTTTAAGCTTGTCACTTTGTGTGGTCCACCAATTATATTGCTTTGTTTTCACTGTAACACGCTGAGTTTTTTCTTTCAATGCCAAAATAAACTACTTTAAATAACAAGTTTTGATTGACGTCAAAGCGATTTTATCTGTGTTTTAGTGATTATGAAACTAGTGAGAACCAGTTTGTGCACGTATAGTTGTGTTTATCGGTAAAAACTTCAAAGAAAATCAAATAGCAACAATTTCACTGCAGCAAAACATATTTTTAAGATAAATTGACGTCGTGAAGCGCGTACTTTAGATTAATTTCAAAAACTACAAGACAGAGATAGATGCGTGAATAGGTAGAAAGCGAATCTTATCTAAAAATTATCTGTCTGTCTATATGTAGAAGAATACTCATTGTCTAGAGACAGTTGCAAGATTAATAGAACACAATCTTTGACGCACTGACAGTTAAAAAAAATTTAAAACAGTTTATATTGAAGCTTCCAGTCTTCTTTAAAGTTTTCACATATACTAATAGTAATGGTACTTAATAACTTAGTAGGAGAGGTAACTTACAAAAATACTCACTGTCGTCAGTGGGTTTCCTGTCGCGTCTAGGTCGTGGTGGCGCGTAGAGTGATGACTGCTCAACTCCTGATCCAACTGACGCCAATGATGAGTGGCCACTATCCCGGAACTCGCCAGTCTCTGCCCATACTATATACACAAAAAACATTACTGTTATTATACAATCACAATTAATCGGTAAATAAAACTCCAATAAGGTGCTGTTCACCAGTATAATCGGGGTTGTGCGGTCTCGAACAAGAGTAGGAGAAGGTATGGGGGTTTTCAGACAATAAGAGTCTGACACTCTCTCACGACATGCCTTGTGCAAGAGAAGTTAGATGATGATTTTCCACTCACGAAAATTGGCTTACGTTCTTAGGGACTATAATTTTGATAGAAATTTTACTGTTTCTTTGGTTTCACGCAATGAATATCAGTAAGAAGTAAATTATTATGTCAGTGACAAAACGGCTTAAATTGTATAGAATACATGTAGGTAACACTATCGATATTTAGTTTCGGCAACATCTATTTCAATACTATGACACCAGTGTACGAACATATTTTTATGGAATAGGAAACAAACAAGGCACACAGGTCCCCTGATTGTAAGTGATCAGCACCGCCCATAGGCACCTGCAAAACCAAAGGAGTCGTTGCCGGTCTAAGAAAAAGGAGTACGCTCGTTTCTTTACGGTATTATTAGTATTTCTGGTTGTGTAATAAAGTACTTCTAGTTTGTAATCTGGTTATAATTATGACAAAATTCACACGCACCTAAAAACTTTAGACAATGTAATTAAAGTATGAGATCCAGCGGAAATACTGAATAGTGATTCAGCCTTCGTTAACTGTGTCTTAGATATCACTATGTTAGATAACAACTTCATAACTTTACTTTAGAAACAATTACTCGTGTGACATTCAATGTCTTAAAATAAACTGTTTGAACTATATGACAGTGTGTTATGAATGAAAATATGAAACATCACAAAATGTAACATTACAAATGTAAATACTAAAGAGAAATAGTCATTTACTTATCTGAAATGACTGACAACTTAACAGAAAATTTTCATTTTATTTCGTAATATGTTGATTTGTGAAATTCACGTGGTAATGTTGACAAAGATTCTAATTTCAAATAAATTCTGTAGAATGATCAAATGGCACTTTAATAAAGTAAAATACTGACAACTATCTGACCAAAGCTAGCCTAAGCATAGCCAGCAAGCCTGGCCAGTACCAAAAAAAAGAAGAATAATAGACAACATACAATAATATATCTTGAAAGATTAAACAGACATGTTTATAATTTCGTCTTAGTCAACTTGGTAAGCTCAAAGTTATGATAGAAACCAATTTCTCAAAAACAATATCATCAAGTAGGTAAGTAGTAAGAATCACGGAAGAGAAACATGAAAAGCGTATGCTTCCATAAATTCAATTAAGGTTACTAATAGCCGCATTATTTAACGAGGATATCTTGACAAAGTAATGTATTCGTTGAACGACGATGACGCCCCGCTGCTTGCAACGTAATTAAGTGTCCCCGAACACTTGTTAACAAATTAGTCACTGGAGACACGACCGTGTGAGCGCGCCCTTATTTATAGCGCCCGCCATATGAGACTTACATATGCATGACTTTAAAAAAATATAATAAAATAGAGACGTTACTCTGATCGATTACGATAATATACTATGTTTGTAAAGGTCATTTGTTTTGTTAAAATAAGTGTTAGAATTAAATACCTGTTAAAAAAAGGGAATAAATATGAATAATAATAAGAAAATATCTGGTTATAAAGTACTTCTAATACTTTATGACACTTAATAATTTGCATTCATATTTCAAAGATTTCTGTGATGAGCAATCTAGTTTGAAAAACACGCTATAATAAACACTGAAACTGGCTGGGAGTTTTTAACTATTGCTTTATTGGATCCCGGGTCTAAACAACCATATAATAGGTTATAAGAACAAACTTGTATTTTACACAACATAGTGGAAATCCACGTTATTTTCCATTGTATTGTTATAACTGATTTTTATTGATGTTTATTTTAAAGTCGCCGTCTTTGCAGTAATATGTAGTGATCCGATTGTTTTGGTAAAAGTCACGATCCGTACAATTGATAGCCGAGAGTGCTGTCAGTAATTACAATTAAAAATGTGACCGCATTGTAATTCTTTCTTTTGTTTTAATGTACTGTTTATTTTTAATTTAAAGAATAAATGTTGAACGCAGTATATTTTTCTCATTTACACTATCAATGTTGGTTTTGGTATGATGTAAAAATAAAATGTTGTATACTGAATTTCTACTTGCTCGCTTTTTCTGGCCCTATGTCTTAAATCTTTTAAACTACGCAACGGGTTTTGATGCTGTTTTAAAGAGGAAGGTTTATATGTATAACTAGCGGTCGACCGCGGCTCCGCCAGCGTCGTTGTCGATTTTACACTTTTTCGAGATTTTTTAAAATGTTCTCTACCTATAAACCTTGTCTGCACTTCCTTTCTTGTTCTGGACGAATAGTTCAAGACCAAAATTAGCCATATCGCAAAGGCATTGTTGAGTTATAACATTACAACGAAAAGAGGCATTGATTTTTATATATATAGTACATAGAAGATAACATCCATTAAATTGGAGAAATGTAGTATCAGTGTTGCACCCGCACAAAGCCGGGCTGTTCAATACAAAAATATCATAATGTTTATTGAGATGATTCATGACCTAAAATCCTTTTCGTCATATGTTGTAATGTTTACCGCTACTATAACTAACTTTAAGGTTTGAATGGCATTTACGAAAAAATCATTCGAAAAAAAAAGGACAACTAAATAATTCTAAGCTATTGTTTTATCTGATTTCTAATACAATAATATACCTAATGTAAGTATAATTACGCGGGTATTGACGTTTTACCTGTTTGCACGCGGTCGTGGTCGCAAGCAGTCTGCGTTAAGCCTACGAAGGTATTTAAATTAATATTTTTCGCATTAATAACCGCCTAATTATATGTTGTAAACATGAAACGCGAAAGTTTAAAAGTTAATGATTTCTTATACCTACGCCATTAATTCAATATCTTTTCTGGGATTAACCTTGCAATCGTGGTGATTCGAGGCAGAATAGAAGAACAATATATGTATAGAAGTTTGATGAAAGAAAGCAAGTAGCTTGTAACCAATACCAAAGCCATACACATCAATACGCAACCTAATCCCAACTTCTGCTAAGTAAGTACCTATACCTAATCTTCCACGATGCAATTAACCCACCTATAGTTATTTTAAAACGAATACAATTAGTTTGTGTTATCTCGTGTCAGTGTAGAACAAACGTCGGTTCATACAAACGTATTTACGAGTACATTAACAAGGAACGAGAACAAATAAATTTAATGTTTGCTGCGTTTGATAACGCGTGATAAGAACGCGTTTATTGTTTTATTGGGGGCTCTAAACCTCTACACACTCGTTTAATGTGATCAACTGTGGACGCAATCGCATATAAAAGTGTTTTACGCCCCACACACGAGCAGCCATGGTATATCATATTTGTTTAATTGTATTTATCTCGTGTTCTATGACGATTCAGTCGTGTGTTTAGCCTTATTACGGTTTTTGTTCGATCAAAGGTATCTATTATTAGGTAAAAAAGTTTCACAGTTAATTGACTTATAATAAAGTTCTTAAAAACGTATCTTATATTACTTATTAGAAAAGAGAGTTCTGTTTTGGAGTTTTTATGTGACATCAGCAAAAACATCACAAGACGTACTAAATTTATATAAAATAACGACGTATTCAAGTATATTTACTTATATATTTACTTAAATATGTAATAATTTTAATACCTACTAAGCGTGATGTCGCCGCGACGCGCACTACGTCCCGTTGTGACTTAAAACTAGAAGAGCTTTTGTCAGTTAATTCAAAAAGAGATTTGATTCGTATTTATATATAGATTTAAAGGATAAAATTAATTATTTCTTTTGAAGTATAAAAATGTAATTATATAACAAACAATATTGTACTTTATTATGTCCACTATCGGGACAAATTTAAGCAATCCATACACGACTGTACTCCTCAGTCATAAAAGATAAATGTATCATCATGAACATCGTGTATCTCAGTTTAAAGCGAAACATTACAAGATATGCTATATTCACAACAAACACGAGCCAACTCACGCCTTCAGGATAACACGCGATACGCAAACTTTCTATTTACTGAAGCTAGATTAGAACCGAAACTGTGTCAAACAATGTTAAGTTACATCAAGTTACACTCATAACTGGGTTTTGTTTAGAAACTTGAAGAAGACTGAATAAAGTTCTAAGGCTATTTAAAACTCTTTACCAGTTTTTGCAGAGTCGATATTTTATAAAATACTATCTAATATCACGCGCTTTCACTCGATATTTTATAGCCTATAGCCTTCCTCAATAAATGGACTAACATACACAAAAAGTATTGTTCGTATTCGAACCAGTAATTCCGGTGATTAGCGCGTTCAAACAAACAAACTCTGCAGCTTTATAATATTAATAAGTATAGATTTTTAATATCATTCATCTTTACATTTTAAAGCTATGCTATATTCAAATAAGTTAAGATTTTATTATACTCCTTCCTCGTCGTAAAACAATATTATTTCCATTATTATTAATTTAGCACGAACATCAAACTTGGCAGCTAGGAGAATACGTCCCGAAGTCGTAAAGTTATAAATTTTAGAGGCTGTAGAAAAATGTGTAAGAATATAAACAGAGAATTTTGTATTTACATTAAAGACAGATAGTCGCTCGAGGTAAACATAGATAAGTGCTTGTAATTTACGAGCGCGCCGTGCGCCTTGCAGCGGCCGTGGCCGTACCTGCTCTAGCTTTTCAAAAAGTCACTACTTACAATTTTTAAAGTGTTAAAATCTACTAGATATGTCGATGAGTATTCATTATGTGTACAGTTTTTGGTGTAGTACAGGAAAAACATCATTTTCGATGAAAAATTGTACGTGGCCAGTCAATGTGCGGATTTTTTTAAACAAGTTAACTTATTTTACAGTTATGTAATGTTTACAATTTGACTACACGCTTTGCGGTAAACGTGTCTCGGGTTAGATTCCTGCACG